AAAATCGGTTCAGGCGTTTTTGAGCAAACGTCGATGAAAGGTCTAATTTTGACAAATGCCAAAAAAACGATACCAATTTTTGCAAACTTTGACGAATTTTTAAAGCTAAACGAGTTGTCGTACAGCGGTAATATTTTAGTATGATCTTAGAAGACTATGGTATCTACCGTCAAAAAAAAACATAAAAATCGCCGAATTTTTTTTTAAACTTTATTACAAGAAAACGGCCCGGCCGATCTCTACCAAAAACTAATCAGCACGATTCCCAACCAATATCTTTCGAACGGTTTTTGAAATCTAAAAATCGATTCAGAATTGCGGACTAAAACGTGAACGAAAATTTTTTCACTTTTCTGCGATTTACAAAGAAACGGCCCGACCGATCGTCGCACAAAACTCAGAAACGGTAGTCCTCATCGAGATACATCAAATGACTTTTAAGTTTTTAAAATCGGTCCAGCCATTTGGAGAAAACGTCAATTTGCGGCCAAAAATCTGTTCACACACACACACACACATACTTTTTCCAAATGTTGGTCTCATTCGATTCAGAATGGCTTGAAACGTCGAGAAAACATAAAATTAGCAATTCGGATTTTTTTATGAAAACATAAACTTCTCCTTCGCGAACTTAATAATATATTTAGGAATGTTATTTTAGACTATGCAATCTATGAATCAGTTTCGTTTTTGGCAAAGGCAGGTCTAGCTGTTTTGGAGATACGAGGCAAAAGTGCCAAAGGGATAGGAATTGCCGGAAATAAATGAAGAGTTGCCAATATATTTTTTTAAAACATTTTACTTTGATTTTTTCTTTATTTGTATTGCATGTCAAATATAATTATATTACTTAATTAGCTATTAGAACAATTGCAAGAAAAAAATTATGCAAAAACAAGTATAAAAGGAAAGAATACACAAAAATTACAGTCGACTTTAAAAATACATTCAAACGTTTCTAGTCTCCAACCATAACATAAAATTTATCATCTCCATCCAAAATTCCTTTATAACGATCTCTAACAATTTTCTGATGCGGTTTCTGAAAATCATCAGCTAGCGAGTGCGAGAGAGATGCAAACATATAAAACGTATGGAGAGAGAACGAGAGATGAATAGAGGCGAGAAGTGGTGTCGTGGCGTGGCGCCCACACACGGTAGCAGCCGCGGCCGACGGGCGAAAGAGCGATAAGCGAAATGGACGGACGCGGCGGCACAGTTTGGTAAACTTTAATAAAAGATGATAAAAAATATTGTAATGATATGTAAAGTAGGGTAGACTGGGGCACAAAGGACCATTTTGACTTTTGGTAATTATATCAATATCACACTAACTAGTGGTGCATGGCATCGTGCATTAAGGCAAATTGCTGAAACTTCCCGTACCATAATTAAACGTTCGAGGAATGAAAATAATCAATAATCAAAAAAATTACTTAATAATTAATGACAATTGTTTTAATAATTTTCAAATTGATTATTTATCATTTTTAGGAAACATATACATTTTTTTAAATTAATTTTTTTGATAATTTTGAATGTTTTTTCAATTTTTGAAGTTCGAAATTTTATGGAATTTTTGAAAAAACGTTTTTTTTTAATTTTGTGATAATTTGATTTTTATTTTAATATTCGATTTTTGTTTAAATTTCGAAATATTTTAAAACTTTTTTAAAAAAAAAATTCGACATTTGTTAAAATTTTTTAAAGTTTAGATTTTTTTAAGATTTAAATTTTGGATTTTTTTTTTAATTTTCAAATTTACGAAATTTTCTGTAAAAGCATTCTTTGCACACAGTCTACACAAGCAAAATGTTTTTTGAATTAATCTAATCGGATGATCCGTTCTCTCAAAAACGGCATGACCATTTTTACACCCTTTGCGCTCCATTTCTCCGAAACGGCAATACGTGCCTTTTGCAAAAACGTCTTGCGATCGAGTACGAACCGAATATTTTTTCAATCATTCAAATCGGTTATCCCGGTTTCAATCATTCAATCATTCAAATCGGTTAACGTTTTTCATTTTATATTCAATTTCTTGCATTTTTTTGTATTTTTGTATTTTTTTTTGCTCATATCAATTTTGTAAATAAGACATTAAAGTCTTGATTAACAAAAATAAATTGTAACTAATATATATATATATATATATATATATATATATATATAAATAAACTTATAAATTAAAAATATTGGTACGGAACCCAAAATAAAAATTACACAAAATGTGTACACATTATGAAAATCTTTATAAAATATCTGAAAATTTGATGTGCATATGTCCAATAAACATTTTTGACTGCCAAATAACATTCTATTTAACTTATTTTATTGAGAGACCATAACCGCTGGACCTGCATTTCCAAAAATTTAAACAGTTCTTCTTTTAGTCAATACAAAAAAATGTTTTTTGTAAAAATTATTGAAATTGGACGCTTCTTTCTCTCGAAAACTGAATTATCATTTTTGGTTCTTTTTGCTCCGTATCTTCGAAACGGCTAGACCTGCCTTTGTCAAAAACTAATCAGCACATCTCCCTATCAATAGGAATCGAATGTTTTTTGAACCATTCAAATCGATTGATCCTTGCGCCCGAAAACGTGACTGGAAATTTGTATCCATACATACACACACGCACACACACACATCCATTTTTTCTGTGGTATACCAAAATGTTCAGAAACCTTCAAAACGTCGAGAAATGTAAAAATTTTCAATTTCGATTTTCGGCCCATTATAATAACTTACCCTACGGGAAGTTAATAAAATGTAAAAAAAACAAATTTTTCAAAAGTCAATTTTTTTTTTTTAATTTCAATATTTCTCATAAATCTGATTTTTTTTAAAGATTTGCAAAGTTTTTTTTAATAATGTAGTTTTCGGTACGAGAAATTCCAGCAATTTGCCTTAAGGCACGATGCCATGCGCCCCACTAGTTTAAATTTAATTCTGCAATCTGTTTATTTAACTAAAAGTGATGAATATTTGGGGTTTATAGGAGACATAAGACGTCAAGCAGATGTCGCTTGTAGGCGACGCTCGTAGTTAAAAGCTTATTTTATATCACAATATTAAATCATTATTATTGATAATTATCATTTAATATTGAGAACCTCTCCTCACTATTAAACTGCGTATCTCGTTGACGAGAGATAAAAAAAAGCACGAAGGTAAAACGGCAACGGCAACAGCAAAAGCTCAAGAACAGCCGAGAGACCAAGAGGAGAAAACAAAGAACACGACAACGAGGAGGCGGCGGACGAATTGAAAACAGAGCAAAAAACCAGTAGAGGAGAGATGTTGGAAAAAAATCGAGATAAAAATCATACGACGACGGCACCGTTTGACGAACTGGAGAATCGTGGAACATTTCCAGTGAGGTCAATTTGAAGATAATTGGTAAAATGCAGAGCCAGAAACCCAACCAACTGGGAAGTCTAAAATCCAACTCAACATCATAAGTAATTGAGGATCTGTTCAAATTCCTGTATTTATTGCAATAATAGAAGGAATTATTAATGGATAGTTATTAGATAGTTATCCTATTAACTAGTTGGTATTGGTATTTTGCCTTGAGGCAAGTTACATGAACTTCCCGATATGTGTAAATAATCGACTTAATCAATAAAAAATAAATTAATTTATGAATGATTAAAAGTATTCCGAATGCCATTTATTACACATAATTGATAACGAACGAACACGTTAACTTGGGGTATTTTCCAAAACCAAATTTTCACAAATCAATAATATTTATAATTGAACCTGTTTCCCTAGGACTTTCAGTATGTTCATTAAGACCAAGTACTCTATCGTTACACCAAGTAAATAGTCTAATTTTAATTTTAACAAACGCCAAAAAAACTACTCATTTTCTCGAACTTTGATGAACTTTTAAAATTAATCCACTTGTCGTAAGGCCGTAATATTTCAATAAGTTCTATAAGACCATGATACATATCGCCAAAAAAAGTTCCATAAAAATCGGCTTAATTTTTTGTTTCAACAGTTAATTACAAGAAAACGGCGCGTTAGATTTTCACCTAAAACTAATCAGTATCATTCCCAACTAATATCTTTAAAACAGTTTTTGATTTTTATTAAATCGATTCAGTAGTATGAGCTTAAATGTGGACGAAAAGTTTAAGACTTTTTTTCAAATTACAATGAAAAGGATAGGCAGATCGTCGCACAAAATCGAGAAACGATAATCCTCATCAAGATACATCAAATGGCTTTTAAATTTCTGAAAACGGTTCAGGCGTTTTTGAGCAAACGTCGATCAAAGGTCTAATTTTGACAAATGCCAAAAAAACGAAACCAATTTTTGCAAACTTTGACGAATTTTTAAATTTAAACGAGTAGTCGTAAGGCCATAATATTTTAGTATGATCTATATACAAGACTACGGTATCTAAAAAAAATCATGAAAATTGTCGAAAAACTTTTTTTAACACTTCATTACAACAAAACGTCCCGGCCGATCTTTACCAAAAACTAATCAGCACGATTCCTAACCAATATCTTTCGAAAAAATTTTGAATTTTAAAAATCGATTCAGAATTGCGGGCTAAAACGTGGACAAAAAAATTTCACTTTTCTGCTATTTACAAAGAAACGGCTTGGCTTGGATAAACGCTAGTCCTCATCGAGATGCATCGAATGCTTTTTAAATTTTTGAAATCGGTCCAGCCGTTTTTGAGAAAACGCCGATTTAAGGCAAAAAATCTGTTCACACACATACATACTTTTTTCAAATTTAGTCTCATTCGATTCAGAATGGCTTGAAACGTCAAGAAAACATAAAATTAGCAAATAAGATTTTTTGATGAAAACATAAACTTCTTCGGGAAGTTAAAAAAAATGCGGCTTAAGCGAGAATGCGCAGGAGGGATAAGAAAAATAAAACGTACTGTGTATAGTTGTATGTATTATATTCTAATTTTCGTAATTAAATTATACATATATAAATTACCTTAAATACCTAAAGCTTTACCTCACGATTTTGATGTATTATCAATTATAAAATTTTCTACATAATTCAAATTTTGCAGCGCGTCTTCACTTTGATCCAAAGAAGACAAATAACATTTTAAATCACTAATAGCTGCTAAAGCCTGGGTTTTGGTCAGAACTGGTTTTGTCTCATCTACGTCATCATCATGATCACTTAGAGTCTCGTTTTGTGTACTATTAACATTTTCAATTAATTGTTTGTCATCAATGGAAGAATGTCCAAGAAAATCCTGCAGTATCTCCTCGTCCTCTTCCTCCTTTAACACGACGTCGACCGCGTTATTGAAGAATTTTTGCATAGTTTCATCATCTTCATGATGTGCCTCTGATTCCAGACTGTTTTGACGATACACGATACCGTGTCGATTTTTAAAACGATTTATCCAGCCATTAGAAGCGTTAAAATCAGTGATCTTCAACTCTTCGGCGATTTTACGCGCCTTGTCACATATTATGGGACCGCTTATAGGCAGGTTTGCAGCTCGCGTTTGATGAAACCATTTTATCAGAATTTTTTCCAACTTATCAAACTTTCCTACCTTGTGCTTTTTTCTCTGCACACCTCCGGATTTGTACTTTTCTTCGATCTCATGTCTGTTCTTTACGAGGGTGCGTAACGTTGAAACCGGTAGGCGAAGCTCCGCGGCTAATTGAGTTTGTTTCGTTGTTGGCGATTTTTGATCGTAAACATCCAATATGACAATTTTTTCTTGAAGTGACAATGCCTTCCTCTTGATCTGTGTAGTCATACTGTAACAAACAAACGATGCACTATAATAAACGAATCACAAGCGCGGCACTACACAACGTCTACAATTGACTCTTATAGAATGAGTTCCAGAACTCAACGTCAAGACGAAACGGGGAAGAAAAATTATTACCCATGCTGTTTGAAAATTATGAGCCTTCAAGTACAACTTAAAGCTTTCGTCAAACATTGACTATTTTTCTGTTATTAGGGTTAATTTTTATTATTTTTGTTACTTTGAACTTCAAGATCCAAAACCCTACGTAACATTTCTAGGACCGAAGTCAAAAATAAAGTTGTAAAGTAATTTTCAAAAGGATTAAAATGGAAAAGGCAGTTCTTGAACGTAGTATATCATTTGAACACTAATAATATTTGAGTAAATAAGATTTTTTTTAAGTGATCTACTGACAATAAGTACAAAACTTTGCTTTTGTGGACTTTAGATCTTTTTCAGTAGATTTGTTCGCTTAAACATTGTATAAAATTCAACATTATACATTTTTGTAAATAATTTAGTTTTTAGTATATACTATCTATTTAAAGTCTGCATCTGAAAAAATTAGATTTTTTGGAGAAATTTTAAGTTTTTGAGAAAGTTTGTCATTTTTGAAAATCTTGAAACCCTGAAACCCATTCAAATCAGTTGATCAATACTGAGGAAAATGTCCAAGGCATTTGTTTGAACTATATAAGTGAACATTAAACAGTCTTACAATTACAATTTTATAAATCTTGGTATGAAAACCAAAGAAATGAAAACGGAAATTATACTAATTATTAAAATATCTAATAATTTGATATATGTGCATATGTCCAAATGTCAAGTTATTGTAATCGTCCAAAAATCGAAATTTTTTACATTTCTTCAGGTTTTGCAAGTTTCTGAACATTTTGGCATACCTCAGAATAAATGATTGCGTGTGTGTGTTTTTTTTTATTTTTTTCTTAACAACATTTTTTTTGAAATAAATCGAATTTTAATTTTTTTCTAGCTGAAGCGTTAAAGCTCACTAATATACTTCAGATGAATAATTTAAACTTTGCAATTCAGTTTATATAATTTTTATAAATATTAGACAATGATCTTCATTTTGTTTATTTAGTTTTCTGTAAACATTTAATATTCCTCGGATATTTCATTACGATAAGGGAAGTTCCGGCAATTTTCCTGAAGGCACGATGCCATTCACCACTAGTTAATTTTTTTTCTGGACCTTGCCAAAAATTTATTCATTTTATCATTTTATCAATAGACTTAAATGTTTTTTGAATCATTCCAATTGGATCCGTCATCTCCAAAAATGAATTGCTATTTTTTGCACTTTTTGCGCACTATCTTCGAAACTACTGAACCTGCCTTTTCCAGAAACTAATCAGCACGGGGTTGAAATCTTACCCCCCCCCCTTCATCATTCAAAGCGGTTGATCCGTGTTCTCGAAATCGTCGATGAAAAATTGTATCCGCACATACATACACAGTGTACACACACACAGAGACGTACATTCATTTTTTCTAAGGTATGTCAAAATGTTCAGAAACCTTTGAAACGTGAAATTTTCATAGTCTATTTTTGCGATTATAAATTAACCTTAAAAGAACAATTTTAAATAGTATAGAAATATTCTTATATATAAAAATGGATCGCAAAATGTGTTGGTAAGCGTATAACTCAACAACGCCTGGACCAATTTGGCCAATTCTTTTTTTAAAATGTTCGTTCAAATCCAAGGATGGTTCGTACGGCGATCAATTTACTATACCTAGACAATATTAGAATATTCATATTAATAAATAACCTTCTGAATTAATATACATATTAATAAATAAACTTATGGCTGAGATGTGCCAGAAATTGAAATAACATAAAATACAGTATATGTATGGCAGATTGAATGATACACATATGAGCAGGATATGACAAATTAATTCAATTAAAATATGAAATTAAGTAATAATCAGGGCCGGTCCTACCTTTGATGCGATGCTTGCGAAAAATACGAGCGCACGCCTTAGGGGGCGCCAACACAAGATTCGTATATTATATTTTCAATATAGTTTTTTTTTCAATATATAATTTATTTGCATCTTTTACTAATCTTTCCATAATATTTTTAAAATTTGTAAAAATTTTACATTATAAAAACAAATGGGAAAGTAAAGATGAAAACATACAATTCAGCCCTCACGATATTGTTTAGGAGAAGTTTAAGATGCAATTTTAGATATGTTAAATAATAAAAAATTTATTAATTTAATCCAACATGAAGTATCAGTGTTATGATATGGTTATGGTTATGTTATACCGTTTAAAAGACTTCAATTTCCAATATAGTGTGGGAATTGAGACTCATCATTGCCCATATTATAAATGCATATGCATTTTGGCGTGAAGAGTAATTTAAAAAACAATAATTATTATTTTTAGGTAAACGGTAAATATTAGTATATTGTATTAAAAAATTGTAGACATGGGTACAGGACAAAGTCTGTCGGGTCATCTAGTTAATAATAAAATATCATTTACCCTAGGTTAAAAACACTCTGCATGAATACGATTGGGGCATGGTGGTGAATTATAAGAAGCAAAGAGTTACCCAGAGACCCATAAGGGGCAGAAGGAACCCAAATCCGATGTTATTGTCGATATTTTGTTACATATTGCCAAAATTGATGATGCAGCTGTTATTTGTATATTATATTAAATATTAAAAAATTGCAAACATGGGTACAAGGCAACGTCTGTCGGGTCATCTAGTTGCAATATAAATATGTTGTCACAGTTATATGTGTCCTTTACCATATTTTGCAGGCTATGCTAATTTTTGTGTCGGATATTACGCGACGAGTAGGTATGATATGAGATATGAGTATGACTATGACGTCGAAACGGAATGTATATTAGTACGTGAGTCGCGCGATTTGGCCGCGTTGCACGTGTGTCTCCGTTACGAAGCGCGATGAGTGACGACACGCGTTGTTTCGCCTCTGACGCCTCATCCACCGCCTCAACTGCCGTCGACACCGCGGCCGCCGCCACCGCACAAGTGCACAACGGCGCGTGTAACGACAGGCAGGGGAAACGAACAATCGGACAGATGATAATAAACGAGATAATAAACTTTAAACTTCGTTGAACACGAAAGTAATTGGATCAATAATAAGTAGACATATAGAAATGTAGGAATCAGATGAAAATGGTATTAACGATCAATTATACAGAATCATTTCTAGTGTTATGACAATTCCCTAACATCGTGTCACTCAAATTGCATTCAAATGCACATATATACATATATACGTACATATCCGCCTAGAGAAGGAGTAGGGAAAATTTTGACGATGCTAAGAGTTGACAAGTGCGCTGCAGAGATTACTATACATAATATTTCCTTCTTTTTCCATATATAATTTCCAAATAACAGTATCATCGTTTTAATTGAAATAAATGTATAAAATAAATTCAGTGTTTTAATCTTGTAATCACCCACGCTAACGGGCTTTCACAACACTAGTTAAGTGGCTGTAGTTTTTGTGTCCAATACTACTATTTATAAGTTGATTTCGACAAATAATTATTTGAAATTCTTTAAGGATTATAAAAAACTAGTTGGTATCGGTATTTTGCCTTGAGGCAAGTTACATGAACTTCCCGATATGTTTAAATAATCGACCTAATCAATAAAAAATAAATTAATTTATGAGTCATTAAAAGTATTCCGAGTAGATTTATTACACCTAATTGAAAAAAACTTTGACTCGGAGTATTTTCTAAAAGCAAATTTTCAAAAACCAATAATTTTTATAATTGAGCCAGTTTTTTGTAGGACTTTAATTGTTTAGTATGTTCGTAATATGTTAGTAATATATGTTAGTAATACCAAGTACTCTATCGTTATACCAAAAAAATCGTCTAATTTTAATTTTAACAAACGTCAAAAAAACTACTCATTTTCTCAAACTTTGATGAATTTTTAAAATTAAACTACTTGTCGTAAGACCGTAATATTTTAGTAAGTTCCATAAGACCATGATATATATCGCCAAAAAAAGTTCCATAAATATCGGCTTAAATTTTTTTTTCAACAGTTAATTACAAGAAAACGGCTCGATAGATTTTCACCTAAAACTAATCAATATCATTCCCAGCTAATATCTTTCGAACAATTTTTGATTTTTTAAAATCGATTCGGTAGTTTGAGCTTAAATGTGGACGAAAAGTTTAACACTTTTTTCAAATTGCAAAGAAACGGTTTGGCAGATCGTCTCACAAAACTGACAAACGCTAGTCCTCATCGAGATACATCAAATGGCTTTTAAACTTCTGAAATCGGTTCAGGCGTTTTTGAGAAAACGTCGATGAAAGGTCTAATTTTGACAAATGCCAAAAAAACGATGCAAACTTTGAAGAATTTCTAAAATTAAACGACTTGTCGTAGGACCGTAATATTTTAGTATGATCTACAAGACTATGGTATCTACCGTCAAAAAAAAATCATAAAAATCGTCGTTTTTTATTTTAATTTTATTACAAGAAAGCGGCTCGGCCGATCTTTACCAAAAACTAATCAGCACGATTCCCAATCAATATCTATCGAACAGTTTTTGAATTTTCAAAATCGAATCAGAATTGCGGGCTAAAACGTGGACGAAAAAAATTTCACTTTTCTGCGATTTACAAAGAAACGGCCGGACCGATCGTCGTGCAAAACTCAGAAACGCTAGTCTTCGTCGAGATACATCGAATGGCTTTTAAATTTTTGAAATCGGTCCAGCCGTTTTGGAGAAAACGTCGATTTACGGCAAAAAATCTGTTCACACACACACACACACATACTTTTTCCAAATTTGGTCTCATTCGATTCAGATTGGCTTGAAACGTGGACAAAACATAAAATTAGTGAGTCGGATTTTTTGATGAAACATAAACTTCTCCTTCGGGAAGTTAAATATGAGTGCAATACAACGTGCATACACGGAAAAACTATTCGTCTAATATTT